AGAACCGAGGACACGACAATTGTTTACCCAATTCAGAGCTAAACTCCTACGTTTGCGGGGCAACTCACGTAAGCCCAATCCACTAGATGTTCACCAAGATTACAGGGGTTTGAATACAAAAAGCCTTGTTATGAAAAATTTGATATGTGGACTGACTGATAATAGGGAAGTGAGGAAACGAGATCTTCAGATGTGTAATCACTTTTCTATAAACTTTAAATCTCCCTCATATAAAGCAACAAGGTTCAAGATTTAATCTTATGGGATACAAGAAGATGAATGAAATTCTTAAGTTATTTATTTAAGAACTTAAGAATTTCTCAAGTTTAATGCAAGTTTATTGCATGTCATGCCTTTCCCTTCAGATGTTTCTTCAACATATTTATAAAAGTAAATATGTAGTACTGTGAAATGTCTCAGTTTAATTCAAGTTTATTGCATGTCATGTCATTCCCTTCAGATGTTTCTCCAACATATTTATAAAAGTAAATATGACTGTTGGAGAAGTTACATGGAAGTTTCTGCAGTTTTAAAAACTCAACTTTCATAAAAATTAATTACGTAAATTATGTTCAACATGAATATATACGTAATTATGAACCTTTGTAAGGTTATGAAGCGCATGCAAATAACTGTGTAAAAATAATATATCTCTATATATAATATAGCAGAATCAAGGTAAAAAAATTTTCCCTCCATTTTGTGCATTTAAGAGTTATGAAATATCAAAGGTTTAGGAACTTAATAATCATCATAAGTCTTTATATATATATATATATATATATATATATATATATATATATATATATATATATATATATATATATATATATATATATATATATATATGAAAGAGATTGTTGAGTTTATACAACACAAAGATGCAAGATAAAAAAAAATACGTACAAATTTATAAATTCATGTAATCATGAATTAATTTCTACGAGTATTATATATCAATTTTGATTATATAATATGTACTAACTTTTTAATAGTTTGTAATTTTGATTAGTTTTTTAATAATTTATTTACAAAGAAAGTTAGGTAAAGTAAAATTAAGTAGGGAAAATTTTTTTCCGCCTAACTGTGAATGCATATTAATAGATTTGTAAGATTATTATTATTTTTTTTTTGTGTAAACCACGAGGTAGTCCGGGTCTTTCTTTGTCCGTTTAACTTTGTAAGATCATTATTGCAAATGAGGTTAGCAATATGAATGCACTTTTTGTCATATATTGTCTTTAACATTTAAATATTACAATGTATAACTAAACTTACATTTTTAATAAAATTAATTCTACTATGTATCATAACATTACAACAATACTTATAAATTTTTATACGTGCATCGCACGGGGCAAATACTAGTTTATATATATACTATAATTGCTAGCACAATTTTGCATGGAAGTTTGGGAAGTTTGAAAGCTCATGAGTTGTATATTCATTCTCCAACTGAAACTATTCCCCAATATTATATTGGGGAATAGACAAAGTTCCAACTGAAACTATTCCCCAATATTGGGAAATATACAAAGTTCCAACTGAAACAATTCCCCAATATTGGTGAATGGACAAAGCCTTCCGACAAACTTATTTTCCAACTGCTGTGCTCCATCTCAACTAAAAGTCTAAGCTGATAGTTGGATACATGTTTATATATATGTTCAACATACACAAGACTGGACAAATGCCAACGACAATGCTTCCAAATTAAAGATGTGTACTGCTTTGGAATTGTGCTTCTTTAGCTCATTACCAGAAAGGAAGCCTATGAATTGAGCTGCTCTACTGATATCATCTTTGGTAGCACTAGCTACACAACTAATCCACTCCAGATAGATCAAGTGATCACACACACAAGATTTGATGATACCATCTCACAATTTCTTGAAATAGCCATCTCAGACTTGTCTGCAGACTAGCGTATGCAATGGTTGTCTAAAGACCATGGCCCCTCCTCCAATACCCGCATCATATCCGTTTCATGATAGAAAGCAAAAAGGAACAAGTTGGAGTGCAACTCCGTTACCCTCATCCCCATGACTGGCTGCCAAACGGATGCCATAACCTGCCGCATATACTCCATCTTGATCAATTTCTTCGTAAAAAACCGGCCTACCACCGAGTAGACCACCCCTGCATCGCCCGGCACCGATGGATAATCACCGCCGGCTTCTACACCCTCATCATCATCCTCGAGCTCCATGTCACCCCACCGCTGGGCCAACTCCTCCACCCCTTCGTCATACTGCTGCATCATCCGTGCCGCCATAATCGTCGCTGCGTCGTCCTCGCGTTGCATGCACCGGAAAAATGGTCGGAACCCTAGAAGGGAGAAAGCGAGAAAGAAAACCCTAATTTAGGGAGAGAGTTTATAAATTACACTATTTACAATTTAATTTTTGTATTATTTAATTTAATATGAATAAAAACGATTTAAACATTTTGAAATATATTAAAATTTCTATTAAACATAAAATGTGAAATTATAAGAAAATATTAAAAAACAAAACAAAAGAAAAGAAAAGTTAGTTTTGCCATTGAAATGGACAACAGAAGGTGTACTATTTCAAATAAGTGGCCAAGAACCCCAAATAATTTAGTCACATTAAATTTGAACCTTTAAATAAGAGATTGTACGGTCAACCACATTCTATTCAATGTAAAAAGACCACAAGGTTACAAGTTCATTAACTCTTAGCGGGAACGGCCTATTGACTTTCTTGGTTTGAGTCGGTAAGCGGGCTATGGGTAATGTAGGCTGGTTACCTCTTTTGGGTCCTTTGCCGGTTAGGGTCACAAGGCGGGATTTCCTATTGCACACCCTCAAGTAGTGGCTGTGGCCTGCGGGTTTCCCTTGTCACTCAAAAATACTTGGATTTAAAAACAATGCTTTAAAATGGAGATAATTGGCTAAGGAGGCAGTTGATGAAGGAGGTACCACTGACAAAAACATTGATGAATTCATCTCCCAACTTCAAAAGAAATTGCTATAAATCTTAGCATTCAACTTAGTGTAATAATATATTGCTTTTGGTATTTTTTTTTTTTTTTTTTTTTGAAAACTGTTGCTTTTGGTCTTATGTACGTGTTCAGTGTTATCTTGTAACCATTCATATGTTAGTACTTAAGTATGAGCATTATGATAATGTAAATGTTGAATTTCACTCCACTAGTTCAAAGTGTAGAATTTAATAAGTTATCCTTATCCTGCAATACTGCCTTACTTATCCCGCAATATTAGAATCGAATCCACCATAAATTGGATATAGAGGTACAAAATGGATGGGAGGTAAAAAAAATAATATTATCATTATACGGGGTGCTAGGTTCAAAAGAATAGATAACGATCCATATAATCTAATCTAAGAATCTAATAAGTGTGAATGAAGGTTGGTACCCTTTATTTATGTCCGTTTTTTCTGTTATCTTTTTTGATACATTAAGCTATAAATGTTGTACTATATAATTTTTTGGGCAATAATGCCCCTACTGTTATAACTTCTGTTATCTATTTCCATTGTTGTTACCATGCGCTTGCATTCACCATATATTTTCTTACATTCTTTAAATTTTTTTTTGAAAAGGACATTCTTTAATTGTTTTAATCTAAAAACATAATAAGTGTGGATGAATGTTATACCCTTCATTTATGTCCGATTTTTTCGTTAAGTTTTATGATACATTATGCTATAAATGTTGTACTATACAATATTTTAGACAAACATACCTCTACCGTTATAATTAAGTTATCTTTTCCACTATTGCTACCATGCACAATTGCACATGCATCCACCATATATTTTCTTATTTTCAACAACAACAACAACAACAACAACAACAACAACAACAACAACAACAACAACAACAACAACAATAATAATAATAATAATAATAATAATAATAATATACATATTATATATTGGGGTTATATGTTAGTTATTTCTTAAAATATAAATACACATTATATATGGTGATATGTTAGTTATTTTTTAAAATATAAATATTAAATTTATAGAAATGTTTTACATTATTATTATTATTATTATTATTATTATTATTATTATTATTATTATTATTATTATTTACAATAATTTAAATTTTTAAAATCTAAATAAATTTAAAATTTTAGTATAAAATATTAATATTAGGCACCTATTTTTGCTCATCGCGCATAAGAATACTAGTAAATAAATAATATAAGCTATAACTAAAATAATGAAATAAAAATAACAATGTTACTGGGGTTTGGTGAACTAATGAATGATTTTTAATGGGAGGGAAGACACTCTATATAGGCACCCTATATATATATATATATATATATATATATATATATATATATATTGTTAAAAGGACTCACACATGTCCTCTCACTATTTTGCTTCCAGTACTACCATGCATAAATGAAGCTTCTTATCCCATGGTAGTATATCTTATATTATTTTGCTCTATGCCTCTTCACCCTATTAGGCCAAGACTTATCCAATAAAATGGGCCCTGGGTCCCATGTCCTTATCAATTATTATTATTATATTTTAAATTTTAAATCATGTTAAATAAAGCTATCAGTTATAAAACGGGACAAAATGGATAATGTAATAAATAAATAATTATTAAAAAACCCAAACAAATTTCAGGCAAAATACTAGTAATTTTCTATAATCAGGTGGACAATATTTTTCTTAAAGACGATAATCTATGAACTAAACTTTCATAATGAATGAACAACATAATGTTGTTGTTAGGAATCGAACCTGGTTTTTTTTTTAAAGGAGAGACGCGCGTGTTTAATAAAACGACGTCGTTTTTGCATCCGTATGCACCATGCATGGTGCATACAGATGCACAGCATAACTATTCTAAGTAAGTTGGTCAAGGCCGGTGATATATACTTCCGTGGTAATTTCTTTGTTGTGCTTGACTTGCAGATAGTCTCCAAGGATGTTGCTAAGAAAGAATGGTGGCAAAATACTAGTACTTGACTTGAAGCTCAGTTTGGGTCACGCTAACATTAAATACTCCGCATATTTTATGATCAACCTTATTAGCTTCAAATTATTTAGTAACAATAATAATAATGTATCCCTATCCCTGTGGTGTCAAATGTCTTATTCTTCTTCTTCTTCTTCTTTATCAGTGTTGCTGTGGAATCCATGCGTTGCAGAGTGACATTGATTGCTTGAAATCGGTTAAAGAGTCGTTGGAAGATCCTCTGGGTTACCTTCATAGCTGGAACTTTAGCAGCAAGACTGAAGGATTTATCTGCAAGTTCAAGGGAGTTGATTGCTGGCATCCAGATGAGAATAAAGTGGTAAATATCCGACTCTCTAACATGGAGCTTGGAGGTCAGTTCCCTCTAGGCATTTATAAATGTTCCAGCTTAGTGCAGTTGGATCTTTCAAGAAACAACCTAAACGGAACAATACCTTCCAATATATCAAACAACATCAGCTATCTTACGAAACTCGATCTATCTTCAAACCAGTTCTCGGGTGAGATTCCTGATGATTTGGCAAACTGCACCTACTTAAATGTGGTGAAGTTAGACAACAATAAGCTGACAGGCCAAATTCCACCTCAATTTGGTTTGTTGACACGCATTAAGGTTTTCAGTGTTGCCAACAACAGATTGATAGGAGCAGTCCCACATTTTGGAAACCATTCCATTCCGGCACGAAATTTTGCAAATAATGAAGGACTTTGCGGAGCTCCATTGCCGGATTGCCCAGTACATGCCATGAAAGATCATTTGTTCCTCACTGGGTTTGTCACAGGTTGGGCCATCTTTGTGTTGCTCACTTTATTTATTCGCCACTTTGGATTTCCCTATGCACCAGCAGCTATAGGAAGGAAAAATATAATATGTCCTGAGCAAAAGGATATTGGGAACCAAGACGACATGGTAAGAATTTGTTGCGTAACTTTAATTTATTTCTGTATACCAGCATGACCACATTTTCAAAAGACAGGCAGGGCACTGGACTTAACCTTAGCCTTCAGGTTTTGACTCAATAATTCCTTAACCACCTGGTGGTGCTGGATTTGGCCCTTATCGGCCCTGGCCAACAATAATATTGGTTTTTGCATATGCATATAAAATTGTGTAATTAATTAAGAAACCCCATTTTACATACAGTAATTTATCATCAATTAAGCAGATTCTGAAGCTGGAGAAGTTTGTGAGCAGAATGAGTTTTATGGAAATGGCAAATGCAACATCCAATTTTAGCCAGGACAATGTGGTTGGGTGTGGAAGTCTAGGGAAAGTGTACAAGGCAACCCCTCCAAACGGCTGGCTTCTTGCCATCAAAAGGCTCCACGAGACAGAGAATTTGGACGACGAGTTCGCCTCAGAGATCATGACTTTGGGCAGACTACGCCATCAAAATCTGGTGCCCCTTATAGGCTTTTGCTCCCTAGGGAAAGCCAAACTTCTGGTTTACAAGTACATGCCCAATGGCAGCCTGCATGAGTGGCTACACTCTACACAAGACAGGGCAAAAGCCTTGGAATGGCCTCTGAGGATGAAGATTGCAGTTGGGGTAGCTAAGGTCCTCTCCTGGCTTCATTACACTTGTGGCTTAAATGTGGTGCATAATGGCCTCTCCTCAAAATGCATATTGTTGGATCATAATTTCGAGCCAAGAATATCGAAATTCTGGGAAGCAACAATCACGAATCCCAACAACACCGCTTCTACACGGAATCATCCTGTTGAATATGGAGACAATTTCAGCTTTTTCACCAAAGATGTTTACTGCTTTGGAATTGTGCTTCTTGAGCTCATTACCAGAAAGGAAGCCTATGAATTGAGCTGCTCTACAGATATCATTTTTGGTAGCTACACAACTAATCCACTCCAGATAGATCAAGTGATCACACACACAGGATTTGATGATACCATCTCACAATTTCTTGAAATAGCCAAGAATTGTGTGAAGTTCATGCCTAATCAAAGGCCAACAATGCTTCAAGTCTATAAATCACTCTCATCCATTTCACAGCCATGGGTGACTGACAATAATGCTTCTGCAATTTCAATGGATTATTGCACTTAAGATTGTGTTACAATTGAGTTACATAATTTTTTTTTTTTTTTAATGAGATTATATTATAGGTGGTATATATGTTAGCTTTGTATTTGCTAAACAGTCTGCGAATAGAGCTGCCCATTTACTTGCTAGGGACGCTTTATTCATCATATGAAATGGAGGTCTTTCCCTCATTCTTTCCTTTCAAATGTACAGGGTTCTAAAGTTCTAGTTGTAAAAAATTATTAATAGTGAATCAAACATTTTCTAATAATAAATATAGTTTCTTTTGTTTGTTGTGCTTGGCTATAATTGTTTTCTTTTATATAACCCGGGATTCCTGACTTCGCCGGAAGTAAATCTAGCTAATTTAACTCGAGACTCGCACCAAACTGCACTACACTTTAATAAACAAGTCAATTTAAAACAAGTACATTTTATATGATGGTTTTTTTTTTTTTTTATTTATCTACTAAACCAATGTCCTGGGGTGTTTAGAGTACAAATTAAGGGTGTCTTTTGTTCGTACATGAGAATCAAATACTTTGTAATGGTAATGAACTTTGGTGAAAGTATTTTGCATGTTTGGTAGTAGGGTGGAATTGGAATGGTTACCAATATTGATGTTTGATTATGTATGACTCTATAATGAAAATAAAAGTTTTAAAAATACAAAAAAAAAAAAAAAAAACAACGGGCAATTGATCATGATATAATAACATAAAAATATCAATATGAACAAAAAATCAAAACACTAATCCAAACTTAAAAATAACTTTAAAATCATATTACTAATATAGGATGGAATGATACCCCTTTTTAATTAGGGAATGTAGTTTTTAATTAAAGGGATAATCAAATGGCATACTTGTGTTTTAAAAAGTTACCAACCAAACAATAAGTATGATTTTGATTTTGATTCCTCTTCGGGACTGACAGGAATCGAACCTGCAGCTTCCGCCTTGACAGGGCGGTGCTCTGACCAATTGAACTACAATCCCAGGGAAATAAGGGATCTAGCAGAAATCTTGATTCTTTTTATCTACGTATCAGGTCTTTCTGAAGGACAATGGGTTCTATCATCTTATGGTGGATTGGCGAATTATTGGGCCGAGCTGGATTTGAACGAGTGTGTAAATCCATGAACCAAACAAACCATAAATAAGTGGCAATTATGATGTGTATACGGATGCAAAAACGACGTCGTTTTAATAAAACGCGCGTCTCCCCTTAAAAAAAAAATCAGGTTCGATTCCCAGCAACAACATATGAACTAAAATTTCAGAATCGATGAACTATAATTCCATAATCGATGAACTATAATTCCATAATCTAATCTATGAACTAAAAATTTCAGAATGAATGAACTAAAATTCCAAAATCTATGAACTAAAATTTCAGAATCGATGAACTACAATTCCAGAATCAATGAACTATAATTCCATAATCTATGAACTAAACTTTCATAATGAATGAACAACATAATGTTGTTGTTAGGAATCGAACCTGGATTTTTTTTTAAAGGAGAGACGCGCGTGTTTAATAAAACGACGTCGTTTTTGCATCCGTATGCACCATGCATGGTGCATACAGATGCACAGCATAACTATTCTAAGTAAGTTGGTCAAGGCCGGTGATATATACTTCCGTGGTAATTTCTTTGTTGTGCTTGACTTGCAGATAGTCTCCAAGGATGTTGCTAAGAAAGAATGGTGACATAAATGAAAGAAAAAGATAGGCTTTCAATTCCTAGACTCTGTTGTATCTTTTATAAAAAGTTTCATTCTATCACACGTTTTCTAACCGTGTATTTGCATTGCCTTGATAAATCAAGTGTTAACGTTAAGTCTTGTAGCATTTTGTACAAATAGGGTATGGACATTGATGAGTATGTATTAATTTTTACAATTTTAACATACATATTTTGACATCAAACTCATATGATTTAATTTATGTTAATTTGAAGCTAAGTATGTGCTTATTTGATTCCTTTGTGTAACTTAGGTGATTTGAGACATTGATCGTAAAATCATATAAATTAAAATTCAATTGGAAGTCATATCTTGTTCTAGAAAGAGTGAGAAGCTAATAGGGGTGTATTCAACCATGACTTTCATAGAATTTTAAAGACTTTTATGAACTTTAAAAGTTTGGAGGTATTCAATTCAAACTTTTAGAGAGTTTTTAAAAGTCAAGCGGTATTCAATCAAGATTTTTAAAGAGTCTTTAAAAGTCGTGTGGTATTCGATTAAGACTTTTAAAGAGTCTTTAAAAGTCATGTGGTATTCAAAAAGTAATGAACTTTTGTAGAATTTGTAATTTTAGGACTTTTGTAGACTTTTCCTTCTCAAATATAAATAGTTGAAATCCAACCACCAACCCCAAGATTTTAAAATTTTCTTTCTAACAACTTTGAATATTTTCTCTCTCTATTTAAACTCTATTTTTTCTCCCTATTTAAACTTTATAAACCTATATAAATTTAATAAAATTATTTTTTCTTCATTATCCTATATTTTCATCATACCTAACCTCTACCAATTTTTCTCTCTCCTAAACTTTACAATCTTCCTCTAAAAATTAGAAATAATATTACTTTTACTTCATTATTGCTTGTTTATATTGATTTTTATTTTTTTTCTATGAATTTTGTATCCCTAACTTTCTCTAGATCTCCCTAAATACATGAACAAAGTAAAATTTTCATCGTCAAATTTTAGTATATGTTTCATAATATTCATATAAATACTTATATATTTTGATTTTTATTCTTTTAATGTTTATATTCGTAATATCTAAAAACATAATAAGCTTCAATTCAGGTTATACCCCTGGTTTATGTCCATGTTTTCCGTTAATTTTTTTTGTACCTTATGCTATAAAAGTTGTACTACATAATTTTTTGGACAAAAATATCCCTGCCGTTATAACTTCTGTTATCTTTCCACATTATTATTACCATGTACATGCATACACAATATTTTTTCTTACATCCTTCAATGGTAAGTTTGAATTCATTTAGGTTTTAATTAAAACGTTACCATAGTTATATTTAGTAAATTATCATTTTTATAATTCTTACCTCAATAATATTAATATGAATTATACAATTATATATATATATATATATATATATATATATATATATATATATATATATACACACTAGTATTTTATATATGCGCGATGTGCAAAAAATATATGCCCAATATTAAAATTAAATATTAAAATCTTAGTTATATTAATTTTTTAAAAATAATTGTGTGTGTGTGTGTGTGTGTATATATATATATATATATTGTTGGTGATAATGAACCACAATCGATTTAATATCCGTAAAATAATATTTATATATATATATATATATATATATATATATATATATATATATATATATATACATATATATACACACGAAATATATATAAAATATTATTGGATATATATCCGAAATATATATATACACACAAATATATATAAAACGGACCCAACGGTTATATATATACATGTATATCTATGAAAAAGATATACCAATATATATCAACCAAAAAGAAAATATAATCCTTAGATTATAATTTCAAAACAACAAGAAAGAACGGATTTTTGCTTAGAGCATAATCCAAAACAAGAAAGAAGAAGAAAGAAAGAAATGTACGAGTTAGGCAAAGTGCCTGTCTTTCCTTAAAACCTTATTTGCCACCTCCCAAAAGTGCTAGGAGCGTTGTGGCCTAGGTTTCCCAGGATAAAACGTACAACGGTTCGACGTTTGAGCACCCAAACGAACGAACCCGGCGAACAAGAGCATGTGCAAAACACAGCTTCAAGAATGGAGTAGGAGCAGAATTTTTGAGAAGAAAAAGTACTTATCTTTGTGTGTTGTGTACTCTCGTGTTCTTCCCTCACTAGTTGTCTCTCACTATGCATGTGAAAAGCCTCTACTCCCACTACACTCTTATATAGGATGTTGGTACTTAATAGCATTATTATGACACATTAACCAACATAAATTCAATTTAAAAATTGAATTATAACGTTTGAAACGGTCGTACTTATTATCGAAATAATATCAACGGTCACGAACTTAATATCCGATTAATTCGTACCGACCATAACGTCCCGTTTCAAATATCTGAGTGACCGAGTAGTCCGTACAAACCCGAAAGGTTAACGAATTGGGACCGAAAACCACACCCGAGTGGTCCGCAAGCACCGAAACGGTGCAGCACGAATCAATGCATATAGCATTGACTCGTGCTCAGCACGAAAGTAGCTCACACGAAAGGAGCTCAAAAGGAGCACGAAAGGATAGCTCATATTCAATTCACTAATTACACTTTCAATGCTTAATTATATGTAGCAACTTTCGTCCATGCATTAAAAGATTTATTTTAAACCTTTCAATGCTATCATTGCTAAATTACATTTTCATGCAACTTTCGTCCATGCAAAAGTCATTGCATAACTTTCGTCCCAATTCCAAAGCTAAATCATATTAAGCTTATTCCTTGTACATTTCGGGTACAACAAATCACAATAATTACTAATTTAATTAGCAACTATCTTAAGATTTTGACTTCTCTCAAAATAGGTTCACTTTGAGAATCAATTTCTCATTCACCTATTACCCATTTTGAGCGTACATTATATCAAATTCTTCGTCTCACTACGAAGAACCCGAATCCACCTTGACCCGACCCAAATCGGAAGTGGATCCCACATATATTTGTACCACAAAATAATCACTCAAAATATCATTTTAATGCTATTTTTCCAACAATCCCCCACATGAATGAAAAATTGATTTTCGGGGTATTTTGAAATCGGAAACAACTGTGTTTAACGGTTGATCCCTGCATAGGATAGGTAGGGATCACTATACCCTTTGAACCTTCCCTTGTGAAGACATGTTTACTCTACTGGCTGTACGGTAGAACGCGATGTCTTTGAACCGACTGCCGTTTGTGTAGACGATGACATATCTCACACAGGAACCTCCCAACCATGCTCTGTTCTCATGAGTGTGCCCATTTTGGTCGTGGGTCACCGTCCTGGTTCTGCAAGAGTTTGTGAAGAATTGTGCCCATCAATTCTCCTTTGAAGCGACCCTCACTTCTCTCTCACATAGGTGATTCTTTTCCGAGTATCCCACATACTCACACATGTCAACCGACATTCGAATCATTAAAGCATCAACATGCTAACCTTGCGCGGGAGTCACTGTTTCTAACGAGGAGTGGTAGGGAGTCTGAGACCCCCACAGTGACACGCTCCGTTCCATAATTTAGTTGTCCCATTGAACCTAGGTACTAGCTAGGTTGGGTATCCACTATAGAACTTTTAGTCCAAAGGCTTTAGACCAATTCCTCGTTCCAACTTCTCCACAACTATTTGCTTACCCTCGGGTTAGCGAGTTAGCGGCCGCTACGTTATCTTTTGACATCACGTAGTCAATCGAGATAACCCCGTTGTGAGAAATTGTTTAATGGTATTATGTCTACGACTTATAAGTCTAGACTTACCATTCGACATCTAACTCTGTACTTAACCAATTTTGGCTTGACTATCGCAATGCACACAAATTGGAGGTACGAGTTTACCACTAGGAACATTCCCGAAAAAATGGCATAGCCATTCGGCCTACTCGTTCGCGACACGAGTGTAAGGCTCTCAGCTTAGATCCCGTCGGATCTTAGCTATCACAAATCATTTCGAGAATTTCCATCCAACCGACTGCACTGGCCTACGTAAAGACGTAGCCTTTAATGGACTTAGTGTCCTTTGATATCCGTGCTATACTTTCCAAGTACGGCTAGATATCCCACGTTGTGCAGTCCAAAGTCACAAGCGTACATAAGTATCTCATAACTTCCACTATTGCCTTCTAGTGCGTAACACTAGGGTTACTCGTATGTCTACCGAGTTCGTTAACCACAAAGGCAATATCCGGCCTAGTAAAACCCATTAGATACAATTAAACTACCAATAATCTGAATGTACTTTC